GACATTCTTGATTGGCAGGAAAAGAAACCAGATTTATGAATGTACACCTTTATATTGATTATGCTTTTGGACCAATACCTCTTACTCGCACATACGTGAAAAAAAGATAATTCTGCCAGCAACGATTGAAGCACAGAGATTTCTCCACTTTGTACATCTCGGAAAGGGACAAACTTTTCTATATCTCGTGAAGCAATCCGTCCTGTTGGCGGTGGTGGTTTGCGCCGGTGGTGTTGAGGTAGCGATCGAGGGAGAAGAATGAGAAAGGATACTGGATTGGATCGAATTAATCAAGGAGACTCTTTGCTGTTAGGGATTAGTTATTCCAATTAATCCAAAACTGATATTCACTTCCCATATTTAAGTCGTAATTAATAAACCTATAAAATCTGGTATATGTGCAAATATGTTGTGGTGATTTAGTATCTTTGCAAATAAATATTAATTAGATAAAATATGTAATATAAAATATATTTGATGGTATGTGGTGCAAATTCCTCTAAGATAAAACTATTCCGAGAATTGCTACTTAGTAGTGAGATGTCGATTGATTTTTTATTAGATGAATTATTTTGAAGATTCATTAAGAACATGAACTTGAGAGGGCCATAGATTGAGAGAGAAAGGAAAAGGAAAGCTTGAAAAATCCTAAAATCTAATGGTGTGTTTCCAAACCCTAAAATCCTAGTTATACATATAGTGCTGAAGCTATGGGTGTGTTTGTTTATAAATTTTTCAATTCATACTAAAAATCTAACTCAAATTTAAATCAACACCACCATCTTCAATATTATCAATATCGTTTAATAATTACAATAAGTCATTCTTACATATCACATCAACTTTAATTCACTATTCATCTCCTTACATAATTTTAAGTAGTCATCATTTCACATCAGTTCTCTCATATTTTTATATCAAACCAACTTTAATTTTTTTATTTTAATTACTTTTTACTAAAAACTCAAAATCTCGTTAACAACTAACCATACCACATTCTTTAAAATTTAATATGGTTAACTAAAAAAAATATATTTTGAGAGGATATATTTTTGTCCAAGCACCCCCTAAAGTTGATATTGTCTAAAACACTTTTAATTCTAACTTTACACTTGAGGGTAAAAGAGTAAAATTACATCAAATACAAAAATGATTTGTATAATTGGGAACCCTTTCTAAGGGATGGTAATTTTAAATTTAGATCCATAGGGGTAGTGGCGGGTTTACTATCTAAAAAACCAAAATCGGTTAATATATCTAATGCGTAATTTATTTGATAAAGATTAATGCTCCCTTATCAGATGGAGCAACCTCTATCCCTAATATATATTTTAACTGACAAACGTTTTTAATTGTAAAGCATGCATATAAGTGATTCTTAATCTCTGTTATTTGATTAAGATTGTTCCCTATAAGAATTATATCATCAACATAGATCAATAATGCAAGGAAGGATGAATCAGTTTTCAAGGTGAATAGAGAGCAATTTGAAATTGATTGTTTTAAACCATATTGAAGTAAACAAGATGTTAACTTGTGGAACCATTGTCTAGATGTCGGTTTTAAACCATATAAGCGCTTAGTTTATTTGCATACTTTCATTTCATCTACAGATTTTGTAATATATCCATGGGTAGAGTCATATATACTTTTTCATCTAAGTTACCATGCAAAAAAGCATTATTTTCATCCAACTAATGCACATGCCAATGTTTAATGGATGCTACATCAAGTAGTACCCTAATAGTTGTTATCTTGACTACGAGAGAATGTATCAAAATAATCTATACCCTCTTTTTGAGTATAACCTTTCGCTACAAGTCTAGCTTTATACATTTCTATTGATCCATCATATTTAAACTTAATTTTATAAACCCATTTACATTCTATAGTGTGTTTTTCTAGTGGCAGAGTAGTTAAAATCCAAGTGTTTGTGTTTTCAAAGGCAGTTAAATCTTTCTGCATTGCCTCTTGCCAAAGAGAATCTTTGACTGCTTACTTATATGTTTTTAGTTCAACTAAGGATGAAATGGATGTAGTGAATGATGAATGATTATCATATAAGTTTGAAAATTGTTAAGTAATTGCAAATGGGATATGGTGTTGTAATGATGGATGTACAAAAATTGTCAACATGTACTTCAAAGGTAAGATTGTTGGAAGAAGATGGTAGAGAGTGATGATACATGTTAAAATATGACGGAGGATTTCTTTTTCTTGTGGACTTTCTGATGGGTAAGGTATTTGTAGTTGTAGGGTTATGTGTTTCTGTGTCTACTTGTGAGTGTACTTGATGGTTAGTGGCCCAAATCTAAATCATAGCTTCGAGGGGTTGCAACTGCAATATACCATGGTTGAATACAGTGTTTAAAACGAAATAGCCACGCAAATAATTAACGGTTTACGGCTAGTGCCTCCAATATAAAATGAATATCGACTTGTGTTTAGTGGTAATACAAATACATGACCATTTGGCGATATTTACTATTGTTTTGGAACTCTTAAGAATTGAACGAATACAAAGAATACAATTGTTGTTTCAAAACTTTAAGAAATAGAACTAACACAAAGAACACAAGTATGAACTTTGTGAAAATTACTCAAAGAGCTCATAAATTTAAAATGAATGATGATATGGCATTCATGGATACGTATAGATGCAAGAAAACCCCTCATGGGTATATGGGTTAAAAAAAACACATTTTGGATGTGCACGATGAGGAAAAGGACAACCAAAGCTGAGTTGTCAATCTTTTTGTACTAGCAGGTGCGTCAAAGTTGCGGGCTTGTCGCGCCCGCGATGGTTTTTCCACCAGAAAGACAACCAGACATCTACCAATTATGAGCTTCCATGTCAACTTTAGCTGGCGCAAGGGACCTAGTTGCTGCTGACGCGACAAACTTAGCAACTATACATCTGAACTTGTATGTTTTTTTATTGCAACCAACTTTTGAGCTTTTTAAACTAAATTTTGAGTTT